CTATTTTCTTCTGGGCTGAAGTATAAGTAGTGGGTAAATTCTTTACAAGAAATTTTATAACTTGGGGTGGACAACTACCACCACCACCACTACCAACTCGACCCAAGATTTAATCACTGTTATTTCGATGATAATTTCCTTAGCCTTTTAAATAAATGGCGCGATGAAAGGAAATGCATTTGCAGCTTAATTTAAAATTCATGGGGATTTTAAAAAAACTATAACCATTTGATGCTTAGGATGCCTCGCCGTGGAGTACTGATTAGCATCCTAAACACTTACTACTGTAATGAGTTCGATGGGTGCTCTATACTCGTGTCCTTGTGCCAGAATTATTTGAATAAATACCCCTGTATTTTTTTTTGTTTTGTAAATAACGAAAAACAACTCGCCTAATGTATGGAATAGAGGGTTATCTCATATTCCCACCCCGAATTCCGTAGTTACATTTCTGAGACGTTAATAAAGAAGGCCTGGAGAATTTAACACTCACAAGATATATCGAAGGCAAGAGAAGCAATGTGAAACAACGTGTAACCTATGAGTTTGTGTGAATGAATGGCAGAAGGAGAATAAAGATGGATAATAAAGGGTCAAAAGCAAAAAAAAAAGCAGCAAATTATAGAGAGCCATGGGTACTACTATAGCATGATATCTACCGAGGTATAAAAAATTGACTTTTTAATACATAACCAGTTTACTGTTCACTGCCTTTAACCCTAATTCCTAACCCTAAAATATTTCATACTTCCAAAAGATGGTAAATATCTTACTATAGTAGAAAATGAATAGTAGATATCTTACTATAGTAGAAAATGAATAGTAGATATCATACTATGGTAGCACTCATTAGAGTTTTAAACTTTTAGTTATCAGATTGTTAAGAAGGAGGTTCCACTAAGACAACTTCTTCCCAAGAACTGTTATTTTGTGAAACAGATTCCCCGAAGGATGCTTCGTTGATCACTACAGTTTTATGATCTTTAAGTCTAGGGCCAACCGTTATTTATCCTACATATCCTCATGATTTATACTTCATACAACAAACCCTAACCCCATTCAGTAACCTTCTATCATGAGTGGTTCTTCGGCTTTGTATCGAATGGACAATAATTTTTTAAAAAGTCAGAAAATACCTGATAAAGAAAATCAGCTTTATTTCCCACCACTCTTTCTTTTTACTTATTCAAGCGTAAATATGGGAGACCCGCTGAGGACCAATCTAACTATTAATGATTTACGAATCCAGTTAGGCGCCCCTTTCCGCTCTTTTTGTTTCTATTCATAACTTTAAATTAATTTCTATTCTTTTCTCTATTTTCTTTAAATGGTAGTTTTCTTATTAAAGGAATGAATATCAGTTACAAAGAAACAACTTCTTGTTCAAGAGAACCAATTATGCACAAAAATCAGAGTGAAACGCGCGTCATATTTTGCCCTTTTTATGCCAATCCATTTCGAAAGAATAATTGTCTGGGGGACTAACATTCGTCGTCCTGTTGTGTTCCATTAATGTGGGTATCGGCTGTAATTAATTACTTTTATATTTTTTGCTCAGTAGCTCAATTGTTTTCAAAATGTCAAATTAGTGTGGAGTTCATCAATAAATGCAAAATCGCAGCTCAATTCTCCCACGAATTCCGAGGTTAAAAGGCCCCAACTCTACTCTATAGTAATTTGACATTTATTCTGAACAATAGAGAATTATGGCACAAGGCCGAGGGGAAAATAGAGAGGGGCTGGTCTTCATTAGCTATCCTAGTCAATCCAATACACGAACTATTCATTCAATACAATTTACTCATGCACCACAAGAACTCACCCAGCACCACTCAATCCTGCATATACCACAATACCGAATATTCACAGGGGACCTACAAAACACCCCATGACATAAAAATTTGAAAGTTCGTTTCTTTACAAAAATATACAAAAATTCATGATGAGGGAGAGGAGATGAACCCAGAAAACAAACTAAAAATGCAACGCAAAACTAAAACAAAACAATGTTAGTAGGACCCGTCCATTCCTCAAAATAATAAGAGTGGCCGCTGTATTCTGCCGATAGACAGAATCAAGAAGCACACTCGCTAATGGAAAGGGAAGGATAAAATAAATTATGGAACGGGAAAATCAAAGGCTGACCCAGTCAAGATGAATGAAAAACAGGGTGGACAAAAGACAAACTAGGTGAGGTTGGGCCATTAACACAACAAAAGCTCACTATCTGTAGTATATATTATCGACTTCCAGGCAATATCACTTTTCTGGTTTAACTAATTTGCATATTGATTTTTATTTTGATTTTCATATAAAAAATAGTTCTGTTTAGGAATATTGTCATATACAGTACAGAAAAGTGTTCGAAATTTGCATTTTACTTGGTCTTCAACAAATTGGTATCTATAATTTATAAAACTTTCTTAACTATAAGAAGCCTACCCCAACACCGACCAATTAATTTCTTCTGTCTTAAGAGTCATATTCTTTGAAGAAATATATTGAACATTCAGATAAATGAAGAAATGTTACGAGAGAATAGTTGATTATATTCTAAAACATTCTTAGCAATTTTGACGACCTTTAGGTCTTTATTTGTTTCTCGGCCATTGTTTTTTATCCCTCTGATTAAATCTATTTAGCTTGTTTATTGAGACAATTCTGTATTTGATTGTTGTGCTTGTATCGGAGTTTTCAGACCCAGTCAAAAGCATAATTTCCACGCAATTAGACTCTTCACCATGATGAAAAAACTGGAGGCAACAGAAATGTGGTTCTACAGAAGGATGTTGAGAATATCATAGACCGAGCGCGTAAGCAGCGAAGAAGTGTTACGAAAATGGACGCTTATACTCAGAATCATAAAGACAGCTTAAATTTCTTGGACACATGAGGAAGTAAGGTTTGGAGAATCTGACACTGACAGAATATATCGAAAACAAAAGTGACAGGTGAAGGCAGCGGGTGAACTACCCGAGGAGCATGTGTGATTGAATGGCGGCACAGTAGGGTGGGAGTTTTAGCAAAGAAATAAATGTTGTTAAGGGTTACAGGAGACTGTGGAGAGCCGTGATCACCCACGTCCTGAAGGGAAACGGCACATAGAAGTGCTCTTCACCTGAACGGGATACGCAATGAGATTTTATACCAACCCAATCCATCGCACCCTACTGGAAGTGTCACATTCGGGTATATTTTTCTTTTTAACTTGAAGTCTGATAAGCTTCAGATTAATCCCAAAAAATTAAGCAGATTTTAAGCATGAAGCGAGTCTTGGATTTTTTCTTTTCTTTTTTTTTTTTTTTTTTTTGAACGCAACATTTTGAAACCAAAACTAACAGAATATAAAATGACGCATGTAACATCATCATCATCATAAGATATCCTCCTAAAGAAAGATTTTGGCAAACGTGATTACCCTTCCCAAATAAATGTTACCTCCACTCAATTTACAGAAAATAAGTGGAATTTCTACCTCTCATGGGAATTATGTTTTGAAACATGAAATAAGGTTCTAACTTGAGAAGTTTCTAAGCATGACCAGACTCAACGAAAATTACCAGATATTAATAAAAAATTAAAAAATGTATACTTGTAAAATAAACAAATTGCGTTCCGGTGAATATATTTATGTTTATTTATTTATTTTAATTTTTTTTTACTTAAAGTCGCTAATCTTCGTGAAGAATATAATGTTGCAAGTTGCAACAAACACTGAACTAATAAGGGGAAAAAATGGAAAAATTATTTATGATGTGCTTTTTAAATGTAAAGAATTTACAGACGAGAAGCAATAAACTTCAAGGTTTCTTTGGGGGGAAAAACAGGATAGACTCGTTACGTTGACCTTAAGTAAATAAGTAATCCAATGGGGAATGCCATTACCGTGTAAAAAAACAAAAAACAAAAAAAAACAAGAAAATAAATGCACACGCACGCGCGCACACACACGTGTGTGTGTGTGCGCGCGTGTGTGTAAAAGCTATGACAAAGAAGACGATATGACTATTTCTGGGACAGAGACAATAAAAAGAAGTATATCTGTCCCATAATAGTTGCTACAGTTTGTACATAGAAAGGTGTATGCAAATAACAACTAGTAAGTTAAACTCTAACTAAAAAGTATTCTAGCCCGGAATTATTTCGCCAGGCGAACTGTTGTTATGTCACATTTAGGACTTGATGTGGGGCGTTCTATTACTAACACTGTTTTATTATTTGTTTTTATTGTGAATAATAATTTTTCAGTTTGATTTTTGAAAGTTATTTTTATTCCCCCTCGACACACACACAAACAAACAAACAAACAAACTGTACATATGGCAACCAATTAAAACTTGATGGCGAAATCGAGCTATTTTTTTAGTGACTGTAATCGGGATATTAAGTAATAATGTGATGTTTTGATGAATGGAATATGACAAGATAATTTGGCCACGTTCCATATTTACTGTAAAATCATTAATAAATATTATTATTATTATCATTATTATTAAGAAGTATCTAAAAATAAAATTCCCGGCACAAATAAGAACATTTAAAAAGAATTTAAAGAAAATATATTTAAAACATCTAATCTTTGATCAATTTTTGGAAGTGAGTCTGGTCTAAAACTTTTCAACAATCACACATATTTTGTTGAGTAACAAAAATTTCTTTTTTTAAAAAAATTCGACCACAGAGGATTCAGTAACTGGGACAGGTTGGGTTCTGGTCAAAATTTTAAAAAAAAACTACGTCCACTCGTTTCGAAATTAAATTTTTCGGTTATAAAAATTGTTAAATGAGAAACGATGTTTTTCTGTGTCAAACAAAAAACAAAAAAAAAACCGGCAAAACTTACTCAGTATTTGTAAAATTAGTGAATTTGCAGAGAGACGGATAAATTAAATAAATAAATAAATAAAATAAAGAAAAAACGAAAGAAAAAAAGAGTTTTTGGATTTCAAAAGCGCTGATTTTTAAAGTGATGAAAGAAAAGTACCAAAGTTGCGACTTACCTATGATAGAAAGCCAAAGAACGAGCCACCACATCTTAGCTATTTGTGTCAGTCTTGCTTGCTTCCAAGACTGAGATGTACAATAAGTGTTCCGCCTTATCATCTGCTTCACACACTGACAGTCAGGCAAGCCTGTCGGTTTTGCAGGTTTGCTTTTCGGGCTACCAGCTGACTTAATGTGGCGGTAGGAGGAAAGTTACACACGTGGTGAGTGATACTAAAGATTGTTGTTACTTAGGTGTATGAGAGGGTGTAGATGCCGATAGCTTGATAAGCTTTCATCGCTCAAAGAATGACGATTTAAACAGACGATAACATAGGGGGCACGACACTATTTTTATCACACTCCAAAAAAAAATAAAAAATAAAAAAACTTACTAAAATTTATTTATATATGCCTCCTTTCTTTTCCCTCTTCCTTATCTTCTTCTTCTAAATTGTTCCCCTCTCCCTTTTTACAAATTAATTTTTCTGACTAAAATAAAGTTTCTCGGGTTAAAAACTTTAACTTGACGCTGTTGGTGGCAGATTCGGAAAGAAAAATAGAAGAAGCAAGCAAAAAGAAAGTACTATCAATGGTAGTCGGGACAATCGAATCAATACGAATGATCCTTTCCTTTAGCGACATAGGGCTACATACAGTTTTTTTGAATTCAGAGTTTTCCTTTCCTAGACAGGTGGCCACCAAAAGCTATAGAACCCAGTCTGCCCTACTATTTACCCATAGCTGAGGGGAAAAGAGTTGGAGTCATACATTTCCAAAGGTTATTAGCACATAAGTGAATATAATGAATTCGTCTGCAATTCGAACTCGGCTTTCTGATTCCTCAATCCGAGCCGCTATCCAGTACTTTAATAACTGTAGGTGAATAAAAAGCATGGTTGTCAGCAGAAAAGACAGCCCTAGTTACGAAATACTTCTTCTTCTTCTTCTTCTTTGTACCATGTTACGTCAGGACATGGACGATCATGGCTCAGCACAATTTCCATTTTTATTTAGCTCTTAGTAAATTGTGTCTTTTAGTAATCTCTCCTAAATCTTGTTTTGTCATCCATTCACTCAAGCTCGCCGGGTAGGTTAGGACTTGATTTCCTTTGTCCCCCTTGCTTTCAATATGTCCTGTGAGTATCAAATTTTCCAAGCTCTCCTTCCCCATAATGTGCCCTGGAAATTTCAAATGTTTCTCCTGATGTTGAGTAAGTGTCCTTTTTGTTTCCATTTTCTCGAAAGCTTTGACGTTGCTCACATGTTCGGGCTATGGTATTCTCAGCATCCTTCTGTAGGTCTACAGTTCTGTTGCTTCAAGTCTCTTTGTGATCTGCAAGGAGATTGTCCAGCATTCACTAACATATAAGAGGACTGATATTACGTAAAAGTTCAGTATTCTTTTCTTTCTTTCTAACGAAATTTTCCTGTTTCATAATACTTTGCTTAGCTTTAGGAAGGCATCTTTACCTATCGTAATGCGTCTTCGGATTTCAGTGTCTCATTTTCTGTCCTCTATTTAAATTGTTGTACTTGTTTGATTTTGTTACCTCCAATTTGTAAGTTGCATGTTGGGTCGTTCTTTTTGCTAACAACCATATGCATTCCATCTTGCAATTGATGTTTAGTCCTTTATTGTTGCTTTTTCTTCATTACTTTCTGTAAGACTTAATGTACTTACTTTCCTGTGTCTGCTACTCACACTGTGTCATCTGCATATCTTATGTTGTTAGGATTGTGGTCATGTGTGAATGCTGTTAGAATTTCTGATTCTTTCAAAATCAACTCTCATTGTATAGGCTGAATAAATCCGGTGAGAAAACAAATCCTCGTCTTACACCCTAGGGACGTCACAATCTATCCACGTTCAGAAATGTAACTATCTTAGTAGTGTAGTAACAGGCTACGAAAAGTGTGGTAAAGAAATCCGAAGGTGCATGGGAACAGCAAAAGATGCCTTTCCGAAAGTAAACAAAGTATTAAGCGATAGATAAGCAACATGAAAATACCAAGCTACTTTCCACACGGTTTGTATTGTCAAAAACAAATCCATCCATTGGGAGTTTAAGTTTTTTTTTCATTTCACCTCAAGTAAGGCAATAAAGCCACTAAGAATCAAGGGGTTACTGAGTATTAGAAAATATAAGAGAAAACACTATTAAGGAGAGAGAACAATCGAAGAACAGGAAGATAAAACAGAAGATAAATTTAAATTTTTGAAGATCAAAGTTGACTGAGAAGTAAGAAGCCGGGAGAGTGTTTCACAAGCGAGAAGTGCGACAGAAGAAACTGTTCGCATAGAACTTACGGTTACATTTAGGCAGCAATATTCAAAACAAGGATGAATGGTAGACTTATAAATATATAAGACAGATTCTCGCGAGAAAAATTGTCTAACACGACAGAGTGAATCAACTTTCTTAGCAGCAGAGCTAGCAAACTTTGAATTTGATACTAAAGAATATACACAATTGGATAGAATAGATATTTTTCTACTTCCCGTAACTCGAGGCTCGCGGTTTGCATTTTCAAAGTATTGAGAGTTTCGTTTCCAATAAGATGTAGGCTCACTTCTCATTAGTTTTAGTGCTAACTTATTCTTAATTAGTATTCAAACTTCTAATTGTTACTATGTCATTAAAGAACATATAAAGTATAATACATTAGTGAATTTAGTATCCAAGCTTTATTTAATTAGGAATTAGATAGGTTAGATTTATTTTTGTACTCTGGGCAATCAGTGGCATGTGTACGTAAGTTTTGGGAAATTAAACAAAAACGTTTTACTGTCGTAAATATTGGACAGTCTCACAGATGACGAAGAGACTTGAAGTAATAGACATGTTTTTAGTGAAGAATGCTGAAAATAAAGGGACAAAGTATGAGCAACGAGAAAGTTTACAAGGGAATAGGAATTAAGGGTTTTTAAAAAGCAAAGCTAAAATTTCTGGGGCACATAATAAGGAAAGAAGGTATGGAGAAGTCACATGACTCTGAAGGCAAGAGAACAACGAGTAATCTAATTAACACTTTCGGCGAATGGATTGCAAAAATAAAGTCAAAGAGAAATGGTAAATGGTCAAAAGCAATAAAAGACAGGAAGTTGTGGAGAGTCATAATCGCCTACGCCCGGAAAAGATTTGCCATTTTTTATGACAAATTTCGGAGATCTTAAAATTTTGCAAATAATACTGATTTTTTAAGAATTCAGAAGAAAATTAAAATTGTTTTTTTCTTTTTCAAATTTACAATGTAGTGCTTAGTGTGTGTTGACATGTCTACTTGTGTGTTTTTGGAAAGCATAGACTAGATTACTCTAGCGTAGGCCGCCAGAGACGCGTGATCCAATTGGGAGCAACGAGTCAAAGCTTGCCTCAGAGGATTTTTCAGCGCATTCACGTTGCTATTGGATGTGACACAAGGTCAGTTTAAAGTGGGTTTAACGGCAATACCGTGGGGAAATTGCTCAAACCTCCTCGGCACTTCCCTTTTGGGGGGACGCCTCAGGTACCGGATAATGACCGCAGTCCCCTCCGAAAGAGAGGTAATGCCTGGAGAGATGGCTCCTAGGGGCTTGAGTTTATTATTTTGAAACTACTCAGCCGAAACCAGGGAAGTATTAAATGATTTCCTAAGCGTGGTTAAGATGTGGGACAAGCCTGAGAGTGTGGAGCATCCAGTGAAAATCGAACTCAATTCTCTCGCGAGACAATCTTGTTAACCATTACACAACGTTGAACTTCTCAGAGCCGACCTCATAGGCATACAAATCAAAGAAAGAATTGTAATACTTATGTTAAGAAAAGACTTATATAGACATACAAACGTTTTGTAAAATATACGTAATGTTTCATATAAATACGATTTAAATATGGTTCTACTTACAATACGACGTATGAAGAGAAATTAGCATTCCTAATCCAAACATCCAAAGTTCGGAAAGTACTGAAAAACGCACTTTGTGCCATGGAGCGCGAGTAACGGTAGGTGAGACCGGAGCCCCGTGTAGCGGTATAGAAGGCCCGGCGCTAAGGTTGATTCTGCGGTGTTACAAGCAAACAGACGACGCGAGCTGTTATTAACAGAGTGTTAAAAATAAAGAAAAAGAACGAAGACAGTAGTAATGACGACGACATTGTGAGCACCGGTGAAAAAAATAACCATAGACGATCTGATTAAAATGTGTGACCAGTTAATTACTAGGCTTGAACAACGCGATTTTATCAGTGAGCAGGAAATTATGCCAGTTTATTCAATTAAAGGGAGATCGCCGACCGAGAAAGCGAAGGTGATGAAGCAGACGAGAAATGTTTGCAAAGGTTCGTCATAGGAACGCAACGTCGTCACCGGAGTCAACAACGGACGCCTAAATCCTTCGTGGCAACGACGACAGTGACACCAATGATTCCCCTTCTACAATACCGTAGAAGACAGTGTAGTGTGACGTAAAATACTTTAGAGATGTAGCAGACTGTGACAGCTGACAAAACGACGTATGCACCAGTGACAGTTTTTAAGTTTTTAGGCTTTTAAGTTTTATTTTTTTAGAAATAAATTTCCCTACTTTATGTATTTATGGAATATAATTATCCCAATACTTCATTATTTATTAGTGAATTTTCCATAAAGTGTTGTTTTGTCGGTCATATTTTCATTATTTTTTTGGTTGTCCTGGCTATAGTTATTCTATAATTCGAAAAGGTCTAACAACCGAAACAGAGCGGACCCCAAGGATTTCGGATTAGGGATATTGGACTTGCATATAATTCATTTTTACACTGACACCTCGGTAAGCGATTGAGATATACTTATACCCTGCTGAACTAAGAAGATACACTAGCTCCTCGGCGTTCAATATACACAGACGTCGCGCATAGTGATCAACATACACTGACGCATCGACGCATCGATCCAAATAAAGTGACGTCTCGGCGAGTAAGCCAGATACACTGACATCTCATAAAAGCCCGGTGCCTTGAACGCCTATTGAGACTCAAACTCAAACCCAGACGTCGTACATACAATCCAACGGTAAAAATGCTGGAAAA